CTCATAAGCAGCTTTGAACTTTCAAAACAATAATTTATTACTTAATTTGTATGAGTATTGTTCAGTGAGTGCTGCATTCTGAAAAACAAAAAAGCCTCAAAGAGCCAGGAGAAACAGCACAGAGGCCTTCTCCTGCCTGGGCCACCCTCCAAACTCTCCTGGACCTCACGACCATTTAGGATTTATTGTATGGTGACATGAGAGGCTCGGGCACTGCAAACAACGTGGTAAAACAGCTCTGGGAGGAGAGGCAGGAGCGGGGGGGAAGGAAAAGAAGGAGAAGGAACAGGGTGGAAGGAAAAGAAGGAGCAGGGTGGAAGGAAAAGAAGGAGCAGGGTGGAAGGAAAAGAAGGAGAAAGCAGGGTGGAAGGAATGGGAAGGAAAAGGGTGGAAGAAAAGGTAGGAACAGGGTGAAAGAAAAGACAGGAGAAGGAGCAGAGTAGAAGGAAAAGAAGCAACAGGAGCAGGGTGGAAGGAAAAGCAGAAGGGGCAGGGTGGAAGAAAAGGAAGGAACAAGAATAGGGTGGAAGGAAAGGCAGAAGAAGGAGCAGAGTGGAAGGAAAGGCAGGAGCAGAGTGGAAGAAAAGGAAGGAATAGGGTGGGAAAAAAGGTAGGAACAGAGTGAGAGGAAAGGCAGGAGCAGGAACAAGGTGGAAGGAAAGGCAGGAGAAGGAGCAGAGTGGAAGGAAAGGAAATAACAGGAGCAAGGTGGAAGGAAAGGCAGGAGCAGGGTAGAAGGAAAGGAAGGAACAAGAACAGGGTGGAAGGAAACTGCAGAGATCTCACACACAAATTTCAGCTAATTACTCCAGACAGCTCAGGGAGCTCCACTCCTGACGGTGGAAGGAAAACTGTGCCTTGAAAACAATTTGTATGGATCACAACAACAAAACAAGAGTGTGTTTGAGACTCCTTCAAACCTCCCCAGCCACCTCCAGCACAGAACACAGATAAGGGAGCCTGCAAGGTGGAGCTGCAGCCAGGCCTGGGCTGGGACTGGTTTCACCCAGAGGCAGCTGCACTCCCACTGCCAGCGGGGACCTGTCCGAGCCTGAGCTCCTACCCCACCTGCACAGGGCTGCATTTGGCAAGCCAAGGCACAGGAGGCGTGAACAGCCCAGGCCTGGCCTTGAACACAAGCTCCAGGCACCGGTTAGAGGCATTTATGTTAACAGCCCTGGGTGACAGGAAACACAGAGACACACTATTAACAATTAATGTAACACAGGGTATTGGCTCTGAGATCAATTCAAGTTCAATTTTTGTAACAATACCAGAAAAATGAGCTGAAAATTATCTGCACAGAGGAAAAGCATCTTGCTAGCATAACTCAAAGTTGTGTTTCCATATAGAAAGGAACAATGGTGAATTACAAACTGAATTCTGCAGACATCCTCAGTGCCAGTGCAATGAACAAACACAAAGCACTTCTATACTGATTTTCTAATTAGTATCATCATTCATACAAGCTTCACTATTAGATATTTACATAGAACCCAATCTTGGTAACTTAAGCTACTCTCCTTAAACTCTGCCTACAACCACTGGTAACCTACAGAAAACACCACAGAACCTTCTGACCCAACTACTTCATCTTTATCAATGGACTGGAGCAGCACCATAAAATGAAGCAAACCCCAAATTTGGAAACCAGAGACAAAACTGTTATTTGTGAAATGATAAATAAAGAAGATCAATTTTCCTGTAGCTTTCTACCTGCTGCACCTCTCACTGAGAGGCTCAGCCCAACAGCCACTGAGTTCTAGATCCATCCTGAAGCCCAGAGTCTCTGAACTCACTCACATTCAACCATTCTGAATTCTCCATTCTGAATTCAACCATTCTGAATTCTCTCCCCACGCAGAACAGGAAAGCAGTCCTGTACCAACCAGCTGAAGTGATTAACTCGGGCTTTTCAGGGTCTGTATTGAGCACAGCCCAGTCTGTACCAAACCTACAGCACACCAACGCTAGCAGACCCACAATCAGCCCCGGCAGGTTTGATTCCAGAGCACAGCAATCCGTGTTGTTCTCCTCCATGGAGTCTCCTGCCTCCTTAATGAGCAGCCGGGCTACTGAAACACACAAAAACCTGCTGTTCTTTGAAGCACTTAAGCCAGCAGGATGCTGGTACGTTTCGATATTTTCCCTGCACAGATCAGAGCGAGGCAAAGTGGGAAAAGAACATTACAGGCGTTCCTACAAAGCAGGCACATTTCATTTTCTATTAGCAACATCCCAAGGGACACTTTAGCACTCTGCAAATATGGCCCTGCAAGACTGGGAAGTTGCTTCCTGAGTACCAGTCATTAAAGAAAGGTATTAGAGTAACTTATATTCCTGTACACCAAGCAAAAGCCAGAGTCATTTCCCCATCCCACGTAGGAGACCTAAGAAAAGCAAGATCAGGAACATCGTAACTACTCTTTAATGTATTTCCCCTAAACTGATTATCATTTAATGATTGTTCTCTCTCTCTCTAAAGGAAAAAAAAAAAAAACAACAACCACAGAAACAAAACCCGATTTCTGTATCAAGAGAGACTATCAGCATTTTTATGAAGTAACAAATTAGGCCTTTGGCATTTCCCAGCAGTGATCCAAGATTTGAGGCTTCTTAAAAGCTCCAAGTTTTAAAGCAATCAAATGGCTGACAGCTGGAACAAAACTAGCATGATTAACCAGTTATGTAAATAATGATGTGGTCAGTGCAAGATGAATTCATTTCTGCTGCCTGCATTACACTGGACATCAGATGTTTGTGAACCCTTCATTAAATGTGACTGTAGAATAATGCAAGTGAAAACCAACATGAACATCACCAGCCAGGCTATGTGACAGTCAGGGTTCTCTCCTCTGGTCCTTCCACACCCATCAGGTAACTCATAAACAGCACTTTTATAACCCAAATATTACCCATATTACCACTGCTTAGCTTCTACTTAATAAACACGTCTGCTTTTTCTCAGGAGACAAGCCCATGGAGAGAGAATATTTATTTACAAGGGCTTGGAGTGACAGGCCAAGGGGGAACAGCTTCCCACTCCCAGAGAGCAGCACTGGATGGGATATTGGGCAGGAATTCCTCCCTGGGAAGGTGGGGAGGCCCTGGCACAGGTCCCCAGAGAAGCTGCGGCCACCCCTGGATCCCTGGAGGCGCCCAAGGCCAGGCTGGATCATTTTTGGAAAACCCTGGGATAGTGGAAGGTGTCCCTGCCATAGCAGGGTGGGACTGGATGAGCTCTGAGGTCCAACCCAACCCATTCTGGGATTCAAAGATCCTGGGAGTGCTGCCTTGCATTTCTCAAAGGCTGATAACAATTTCCATTCCTCAGCAGATGTAAAAGTCAAGCTGCTGTGTCAGAGAGCTGTTGTGACACAGGTGAAATGTTGCAGAGTAACTTCATGGAATAGAGGAAGTTACCACCAGCACCCCCAAGTCAAACTTCCTCAAATGGAACCCACAGTCGATTTGGCCTTATCAGAATCTGCCTTCAGGAATGCACACTCATGGGTCATTTCTGCTTGATAATTTTTGATAACATGGTTAAATATTTAATATGGGGAAGTTTATCTCTGAAATTCTGTCAAGCTAGTTTACCATTACTTGGAGTCCATAAAGGAAAATTTATCAAAAGTTTTGATTCCTCCCAATAAAACTCTACACTTGAGTTTGTTCAAAAATAACACATCTGAGAACCAGCCAAGACAAACATATTTAGAAGTAACTCCTAAACAGGCTGCATTTTGCTAAAGATACCATTACAATATATTTCTGATTTTTAAAAAATCATTCATCCCACATTTCACACCCCAACGATATAATTTCCTATGACCTTGTGTCTCACAAAACACAGCAACACACTGGAATTATGCAAGAGTTCTGTGTTACCATAAAACAAGCATTTCAGTGGAGAGAATAATAAAACTTAATCTCGTGGCCTGATTTGCATTTTGAACTCCTCAAGTCAGACTCTACAGCCCATAACATCTGCAACAGCTTCACAATCCTAACAAGTCTTTTAGGCCTCCTGTTGAAAATGGATGAGCTTGTAGATAATTCAGGTTATTTTCTTAATAGATGAGAACAAGAAATATGTCCAATTTAAAATCTCACTTGGCTTTTCACATCAGTATACCGTACTTGAGAAGGGGGAGGGGGAAGCATTACACACCCATAAAACTGAGACCAAACGCTACCAGTCTTAAAGCCTTAGAGCTTTAAATCTTAACATGAATATTTTAACATTTACATTAAAGCCTTACGGCTTTAAAATAGGGGACTTCCATTGCGGGCAGCCTGTGATAATTACTGTTTCAATACATTTCACAGCAATAATGTAATACAGCTCGCTGGCTACCCAACCCTAATCTCTAGCATCACAGGTACTGCAGATAAAAATTTTTTTAAAAAATATATATAAGTATGTATCAATGTAAATATATATAGGGAGAGAGAGAGAATATTACAGAATCACAGAATTATCAGGGTTGAAAGGGACCTCTGGAGATCATCTAGTCCAAGCCCCCTATATAAAACAGACCCTTAAAAATCATTAAAAGCATTAACACACATCTCCCAAACAACGATATCACTGAAAATACAACAAAACATCCCCGGCCCCGCCACGATGGAGGTGAACAACGCCGGGGCGGGGGTCGGACCGGGCGGAGCGGAGCTCCCCCCGCCCCAGCGCCGCCGCCGCCGGGAGCCCCCCGAGCCCGCAGGCCCCGCCATCCCCCGCAGCCCCGGGAGGCCCATCGGGAGCCAGGCCCGAAGCCGGGGCCGCGGGGGCCCGGCCCGGCCCCGCCGCCACCCGCCCAGCCACCCACCGGCGACAACAAAGGCGACCGCGGCCCCGCGCCCTCCCCGCGGGGACCCCCGGGGGCCCTTCCCGCGCCCACCCCGCGCCCCGCGGGGAAAGGGGGAAAGGCGGCGCTGCGGGGGCCGCCCGCCCGTTCCCCCCGTCCCGTCCCGCGGCCCGCGGGAGCCGCGCTGACCTGCGGGCGCGGGGCGGGCGCGGTGTCCCGGTGTCCCGGTGCCCGGCGGCCGCGGGCTGCGCTTGACACCCACACGCACCATCCAACATGGCGGCGGCGGCCGCGGGGAGGCGGCGGAGGAGGCGGAACCGGCGGCCGCGCGCGGCCCCGAGGCGCGGCCGCGCTGAGGGCGGGGGGGACGCGGCGCTGCCCGTCCCCTCCTTCCCTCCCTTTTCCCCTCCTTCCCTCCCTCTTCCCTTCCTTCCTCCCTCCCTCCTGGCGCGGCTCCTCGCAGCCGGACCCGGCGCCAGTGCGGAGCGAGGCAGGATCGGCCCCCGGGCACGGGCGACGTTGCACGGGAGAGCGCCTGGGGAAACTCCTCAGGGGTCCCCCAAAAAACCTGTGTGAAATAATAAAAAGCAGCTCTATCATTACAAAATAACTACATTTATGGGTCAGGGAACGCTTTAGGGAGGGTGCGGGGCTGGGTTTGATGGAAGGAGGGCGCTTGGGGATCCCCTTCAGTGCTTACAGAGCCGAGGAAGAAGTGGGTTCAGGGCTAGAGATCCCCCAAAATCCAGGGGACAAAAATTAGAAATTAATTAATATCAGTACAAAATAACCACATTTATGGATCATGGTACACTTTAAAGCAGGTCTGGGGCTGGTTTTGATGGAAGGAGAAGGCTTGGGGAACATACTCCAACCCAACATTCACAGCGCCCAGGAGAAACACATTTCAGGACAGGGCTGCCCCCCAAAAATCGAGGTCCAGTGTGGGCTGTCAGCCCCCAAAGGAGAATCATAGAATGAATTAGTTTGGAAAAGACCTGAGATGATCAAGTCCCAACTTGTGGCCAAACACCCCCTTGTCAACTAGACCATGGCACTGAGTGCCACATCCAGCCTTTCCTTAAACACCTCCAGGGCCAATGACTCCTCCACATCCTCGGCCAGCCCACTCCAATATTTATTCACTCTTTCTATGAGAAAATCCCTCCCAGTGTCCCACCTGAACCTCCCTGGCACAGCTCCCATTGCCTCACACAGCACAGATACTCCCACCGCAGATGCCAATATAAAATAACCACATTTATGGCTAAGGGGACACTTTATGGACACATTTTTGGATCAGGGTCACCCCACTGGGTGATGAAGGGGAGCCCAGCAGGGACACAGAGGCAGGAACGTGGCAGGAGGGTCTGGGTGGGTCAGAGCACACGTCCTTCCCCTCAGGATAATGACTAAACCTGTGTCCGGCACACGGCTGGAGGAGGGCTCTGCTCCCATTGTAGTCCTCCCTGAATATATTTGTTCCCATCTTAAAACCAGGAGACAATTCAAGGAAACGGGACACGGCTGCTCGGGAGACAGTCGGGATTGGTGTGGGCCAAGGGAGAAGCTGGAGAGCAGAGCTCTGCTTGGAGCTGCTGCTGGTTCTTTAAAACCCCAATTCCTGAGGAATCGTGCCTTACAAAAGCATAGGAAAACAGAAATGTGGAGCAAAATCCAGTTTATGAGTCACTGCTTTTAAGTGAAAGGAGGGTCAGGCTGAGTGCTGCAAACTTCATCAAATCCCACAGTGGTTTGGGAAGGGACCTTAAAAATCATCTCATTCCAAACCTGACAGGGACAGGGACACCTCCCACTGTCCCAGGCTGCTCCAAAATGCATCCAGCCTGGCCTTAGAAACTTCCATGGATGGAGCATCCACCACTTACAGCCCAGCCTTCCTCCCATGGAGCCACTATGAAATCTGCCACAGATTTGAGGTTTAAATACAGAAGAACGGGGACTGCAGTGAAACGCCGGGTGAGCTGCATTAAAAGCAACTTGTTTAGAAATGCTGCACATTCCAATGCCTTGAACACCATCTGGGAGCTGGGAAGCTCCGAATCTTCTGCAGCAAGCTGTGATTCTGGCTTAGCTGTTAACCTTGAGCTAGGCAGGATTAAATTCTGGGTGAAAAAAATAAGGGATCAGCACACATCTGATGGTATCAGCAGGAGCTGAAAGAATACTCCCCCCTTTTCTTCTTTGCAAGAAAACAGCAATGATGGAAACCCAATGTTTCTGTGCACGTTCATTAATCCTAATGATCAGGTGCTGACAGCTCTAAAGGAGGAGAAGAAAGCTCTTGGTTAAAATAAAATGGGAAGAACAGGATTGTTCCTGCTGCCTTCTTTCCTGCCTGTGCTCCTTCCAGATCTCGGCAGACAGCTCTCCAGAGCAGGAGCAGCTTCCTCTCCATTCCCAGCTCCATCCCAGGTGTCTGTCTACATCATTAAGTGTGCAAATCAGCAAACCCAGCAAAAACCTCCTGCAGCTGGCACACTTCCACCAAAAAAACACTTCTCTATCAACCAGATCAAGCCCCTTAGTGCGAGTAAAACAAACCAGCCATGTAAAATCACTTATTTTTTGATTATTTTATCAGTGCTAATGCCTTAAAGTGCAGTGTTCCTGCTGCCCTAGGCAGTACATGAGTGGTAGAGCTGCACCAGCAGAGCTCTGCCCAAGCTGCACAGGGATGTTCCCTCCTGGCGGCCCCTGAGCAGACTCACGGCAGTGGATTTATGGCTCTTGTTTCCTATTAGCAACAGGAGGTCACTGCATTTGTCCTGATTTCAAAGGCAGGAGCTGGTGCACAACACTTCCCACTGCAGCCCTGCCCCATCCCTCTCTGGAGCAGGCTGGACCTGGATCTTGACCCGAGCCATCTCTGATCCTTCCCAGCCCACAACATTTCAGCTGCGTTGGTAGAACAGAGTCCAAGGCCACAATCTGCAGTCTGAGATGGGCACCAGGAGCTGTGGCACCACCCTGATAACCAGCAGAGCAATGCACATGGAGAAGGCAGCTCACAGACTCCCAGGATATCCTTGGGATATGGAAGGAACTCATAGGGAGCATCAAACCCAACTCATGGTCCTGCACAGGACAACACCAAGGATAGGGACACCTTTCACTAGACCAGGCTGCCCAGAGAAACTGTGGCTGCCACATCCCTGGAAGTGTCCAATGCCAGGTTAGGCAGGGCTTGGAGCAACCTGGCATAGTGGAAGGTGTCCCTGCCATGGCAGGGGTGGAACTGGAGGGTTTTTGAGATCCTTTCCAACCCAAACTGTTCTGTGATTCTGTGAATCCCACTGTGTCCCTGAGAGCGTTGTCCAAACACTCCTGGAGCTCTGGCAGTCTTGATGCCATGACCATTCCCTGGGGAACCTGCCCAGTGCCCCAGCACTCTCTGGCTGAAAACCCTTTTCCTGAAAACCTAAACTTTCCTGGCACAGCTTCACGTCGTGCCCTTGGGTCCTGTCACTGGTCACCAGAGACGAGCTGGTGGCAGTGGCCCCAGTGAGTGGGAGTAGGCAAGGAGCAGGAGGATAAGGAGCAGGAGGATAAGGAATAGGATGTCAGGAATGCAGGAGGCTCTCCCAGAGACGATGAGGAAGGCACATCCTCCCCCAGCTGCCCTCCCAGCTAACCTAGGGAAGAGCAGCTGCCAGGGAGCCTCAGGAGGGCCTGTTCCACAGCCATAATGGGAATATCGCCCACGTGGGGCTGAGCACAGCACTAATTAGCTAATGAGTTTGCTCCAAATGTCTGGCCACGGTGTGAGGGACAACAGGAGCAGCACTTGAAAAGCCCCAAACACTGACAAGTGCATTTGTCCCTTGCCGCTGACCCCAGCCCCGCATTAACAAATAGGTCAGAACCAACGGTGCTTTGCAGTGATCTAATCCTCCTGCCATATGTCAGCTGCCCGAAAAAACACTGCCCAGAGAACGCCCCAAAGCTCTGCAGAAATCCCAAGGAAAACTCGATAAATATATCCCTGCCGTTTGAAATTTGATTTCCTCACTCTATTGTTCCTCATTTCCTGAGAGCTGGCTTGGTGGATCACATTTTCTGCTTCTGTCTCCAGTGCTTGTAAGCAAACAAGACTGAATCTCATTATCCTGATGCATGGCCCTGGCTGCCTGCAATCCGATCTCTAAATCACAGTCATTTTGCTCCATTACTGATTTTCCTTCCCACTCCTAACCTGCAGGTCTTCAGAGGAATCAATGCAGAAATAGAGACGAGCATCATCTAATGAAGGTGTGTTTAACGTTCAGATCTTCAGCCTGGATTAAACAGCCAAGTGAGGAACTGCCTGCTTGGGCACCTCCACTCCAGTGGCAGCTGGAGCTTCCCAGCCTTCCCGAGAAGCCACATGCTTCCACATGGGGTGAATGGGGACTTCAGTCCCTGAGAGCCCAATTTGGGAAATCTGCTAATTAAATAGTCTGGGCAAACACAATCATCATTGTCCTCAGAGCCAAAGCAGCGAGATGTTTCTCAACAAGCACAGACCCTCCCCGGAATTTTCTGAGCTGTCTGCGTGTTGCTGACAGTTATAGAGAATATATTGAGATTATACAACTTGATGTTCACCCCGGGTTATTCTCTCCTGGATTCATGAATATTTCATTGAAATATGCAAAGTCTGAGTTACAGTCTTGTCTGCTTCAATTAGACACAGGGATCCACGGGGTCTGCAGCCCTTCCACACTTGCAGGGTTTGTCTACAAAGCGAGGAGAACCAAAATAAGAGTTTAGCTCCCATCATATTTAGCCTGGCTTTTTCAAACATCTTTAAATAAGGGAGAGAAGCAGAAGGATGGGAGAGTAGAGCCCAGTGAGCCTGTGCCTGAGTTCAGCTGGAAGCAACCCAAGCTAATCAGAACAGAGCCAGCAGGAGGGGGCTCGTTCCCTTCGTGATGCAGACAAACTTGTAGAACTGTTTCCAATGCAAATATTCCTTTTGACAAGTTCAAAATTAATGCACCTCTAATATGGGTATTCAAACCAGACCTTTTCTGAACACGTTGGCAGATTCATGAAAAGAGAAGGGAGAATGCAAGCCCAGCACATTCTGATTTTCTCAAAATGAATGTGCTCTGACAGTGCAAGAGGCAGTGACGTTTGAATGTGCTTAGTTCTAGTAATTACCAAGTGTTGTGTTTCTTTAGAAGCTGGAGCTGTTCTCATCTGTGGGCACCTTCCCTCATTCCTTTCTCCTTACTGCTCAGGAGGTGCAGTTTCTCCCATGCCTCAGCAAGAAGCCAAGGCCTACTGTGCTG